ATGAATACATAATAACAAAAAACATGACAAATTCTGCTAACTACTTATAATTGCAAATTACAAATTACTTATGTTGTAAAATAGTAACTTTATTGCTTATTTTAATTATGCATGGAAAGAGACACGATTGCTGAAAAACTAAAATGACTTTTGTTTATGGAGCAGTCAAAGATATTAATGTTACCCAAAATTTATTCGAACAAAGGTTTCTAGACAGACACATAGTTTCTTGTGTAAGATCTTCAATAGAGAAGAAGGCGCTACAAGAAATTCAATGTTTAAGCTGTTGTTCGTAATAATCCACATATTTCTTTTCGCGTAATTTTTTATGACTCTGCTGTATCCCAACGCAGTGTACTTAGATTTTTACATTGCCATAAATTTCACCAGTACGCTGTTTGCATCAAGAGCTACAGGAATGATATCCATTATTGGTTACTAGAAAATTGTTATTGGTTACGTGAAATGAATTACTAACGACGTTGGACAGTTAATATACTATAGGTAACTTTTCAATTGGCCCTTTCTTCGAAAAACATGCTTCTCAAAAAACATGTACCCTTTAGCGGCCCTTACACGATCAATAGTATTGACAATGTCAGTATTGACAATACAACCATCAATCCTCGTGGTAACCAGTCTCAATACTTCACTACCTTACACGATCAATATTATTGCCAATAGTTTTGTCAATCAGTTTGCTCAATAAGTTACCTTTTTACCACGTACAGGGTTAATCTACGTAGTTTTACTCGGTTATTTGCCGGTTTTCCTTTCCAAATAAGGATAATCGTACAAAAGCTTGCGTAGCTATTATTTTGGGGCTTGGAACTACTCTTCGACTGAAACGCAAACACTGGATGAAAGAATGGTTGAAGAAGAGATATGAATATTGTTATCTAGTACTGTTGATAGAAATCAACCTCTGGGATGTTGATGATTTCAAGAACTACTTTTGAATGGATGAGAGTTTCTTTAACAAACTGTTACAGATGGTTGAACCATTTTTGAAAAGACAGGATCGCAATAAGAGAGAAAGTACAAGTGTTAGGGAAAGATTAGCCTTAACCCTGAGGTATTTTTCCACAGAAAGAAATGTTGAAGACTTGAAGTTTTCTGTTATAATGTCCCCAGCAACTATCAGCAAAGGTGTAATAGAAATCTGTCAAACCTTTATATATGTCCTACAAGACCAACTGAATGAACTAGATGAACCAACAGTATCTTCATCGTCTTGAACGTCAACAACGTCAGGTAATGGGCTTGAACTGAACTGAGTGTAATGTAGAAAATAAGAATTAAACCTGTTTTCAAATCATCTGGGTTAACCCTTTACCGGTTAGTGGCTTCTATAGAGATCAGTTATCACTAAGGTCAAATAGCTGCATTACCACAACTAAATCGTTTCTAAAAACGAAAAAATAATTTGCCCTTTAAAGGGTAAAATAACATATTATTATGTTTTTCAGTGTGTTGATAGACATGTTTTGTTATTGTTACAATTAAATAAAAGTAGATATTTAATTTTGAATGTTGAATTTATTACACTGAGTATTGATGGAAATATTGGCGCCAACCCTACACGGTCAATAGTATTATCAATATCCCCTCCAATTTTCAGTATTGATGCCCGAAAATAAAAAAATCCGGACTTTTATCAATACTCCATCAATATTTACCGTCACTAAAATTTTTTACCTTACACTGTCAATATGCTAAGGTGTTGTCAATATTGATCGTGTAAGGACCGCTTTAGAAAAGCATACTTAACAAATGAAAAATATTGATTGCGCTTCTAAAATGCAATAAAAAATCGTTCAAAATACTTTCCCCCTTTATACGATGAAAGTTTTATGAAACTTTTTTGATAAAATTGATGTTTTCTGAGTTATTATTAGGTAGTCTCAATTTCAATGCCTTACTCAGTATATGAAATATAGTCTTTTAAAAAAACTTTTTAAAAAGATTCAACGCAGTTGGTGTCCTCTTATAAAACCAGTTGATACATCTACTTAAAAAATTTGGCGTCTACAAATGGGTATCTACCGACGAATAGTCTCAACAATTCGGTATTATTCTTGAAGGACACATTATCGATTTTTCTCTATGCAAGAAATATTAAAATATATGCAACTTATTTTACGATTTTCGTAGTAATACGTTAGGGCGCGTATAGTAAAATTTAAATTTTTATGAATGGCGACACATAAGTCACCCTGCCATCTAGGCATCACGACCACGAACTAAATTCTTTGGATAACTATGTACATCTATAAACAAGGACCAAACCGTGGAGATAAACACAAACACAAATAAACCCAACCTAACCCAACCCAGCCTTTTGCGCATTACAATTTAGTCGCCGGTTGCCATTTTGAGTGTCGGCGCCGACAGCCGATGTTTTAAATCTCGGCTGCCGGCAGTATACCACCGCCGGTTCCCAATAGTGATAGCCGGCGCCGGCAGCGGAGGCACTCTCTAATAATTAACCAGTAATTGGTAATTTACGGTTTTACATTAAATTTTAATATTTTGGAATATATTTTGCTTCCCGGATCTCACGAGCGATGATTGATTGAATAAAAAACATGTGGGCTGGCTATGTAAACCTCGGGCGAGTGGTTTGTAACATAAAAAAACCGCAAATATACATAAAAAACAAGTTTGTAAAGGGAAGTAAGCTTACTTTTTCTGATATCATGCTATAGAATGTTCTGATTATCGGTTTGCGCGTAAATACGAACCAAAAGTGTATTTTTATATTATTATTATTTTATATAAATACAGAATGGTTCTCAACCTATGCGCATAAACTTAGGGATTTACTCCTCACGACGAATAATGACTATGATTGATTTATCCGTTATTATATTTAATTCCAAATCAAGAATACATAGAACATTTTAAAATAACATCACATATTTTCTATCAATTGGCCTTCAGGAATTCACGATCTCCCATTAGCGCGGTGTAAACCAGGGTGTTGGCGAATTGTCTAGGCAGCAGCATGTAAATGATTTTGCAATATTTGCTCAGTATTAACTTCCGTGACGTACACTTTGCTTTTTAAGTAACCCGACAAGTAAAAAATCAAGAGGGTTGAGGCTGGGCGATCACGGTAGCCAGGCCATTGGACCTTCTCGACCTATTCATCTTTCAGGAAACACATTATTTAGATTAAGAGAAACTAAAAAACTTTTACTACAACTTTTTTCATCTATTAGTGATTATTTGTCATGAAGAATAAATCCTCAAGTTTATGCGTATAGGTTGAGAAGGACCCTGTATATGTCCTGAAACTCAACGTCAAGTGGGTACCAGGCGAGAGACCAACCCTTATCTGTTCTGGTAAAAATAAGAAAAAAATTCTGGTGTTACTTGAAAGTATACAGGGTACTTTCAAGTAACACCAGAGAATTGCCATACGGCGATTTTCTTGAAATTTTGCATACAAGTAGGATATGGAAAAATATTCGACACGTACAGTAATGTTCACGGGAAATGCACACTCAAGGTCAAGCGCTGTTGTGAGATCCGACATGCCGCTGACTAAACGGGCTGAGCCGAACGTTCACGAGCCACGAGCTTCGTGTGCGCTCGGCTCAACCCGTGCCCGCGTTTAACCTTGAGTGTGCATTTCCCGTGATCATGACTGCACATTGTCACTCACCCTTTCCGATTTTAGAGATACGTTCGATTTTAGAGATTTGATTGTTCCATGCATCACTACTTGTAGTGATGAGTTTCCATGATGCGTTACTGTTAGTGGTAGTTTTGATATTAACCGTTTTCTAGAAATCCGCCTTAAAATTATCCTCATTTCTAACATTTTTAAAAATTTTTCGCAATTTTTAACAAGGGTGTACAATTTTTAAAAAAAAGCGGTCGCCATTTTGAATTCTCGAAAACGGACATCAGATTCGTCATCAGCGACGCCAAAAACCCGTAGTGAAATGATTTTGCAACAATCGTAAAAATAATTCGTAAAATAATCGAACTTATCTTCAAAATCGGAAAGGATGATTTCTACATTTAAAACGGCGATCGGACAGATATGGCGATAAACGTGTCGAATATTTTTCCATACACTTGGCACTTACATTAGAATTTGTAGAAAATATCTTAAAACTTAAGTCGAACCATGATTATTAGTTCAGTTCCAAGTTAATATAGTTTTAATCACTAAGCTGCGGCTGCAACCTTAACTTAGTTATTCATATGATCTAATAAGTCTACTTGATACAGCTGAGGCCACAGTCAAGGCGTTACAATATGATGACCACTTTCGAGCCTCGCCTTCAAGCAACCTCGACTTAATTAGTCAAAACATCTACACCAAATGTGTGGTTTTGAGAAGCTTTAATATTATTATGTATGTACTAAATTTTTGACGAGTGCTATACATACAGTCGTCGCTGCAAGAGTTTGTATTACACTCCTTTTTCTGCGCAACTGACCAGCCAAGATAGATTTGCCAAGTTGTAATTTAGTTTAGGAACAAAACGAACACCAACATGCATCAATTAACATGCAAAAAAAATATTATTAAGTAAATCTTAAAATATAGTTTAATACAAGACTTATTTAATACTTTTTTCCAAGAGACTTAAATACACAAGAAAATTAAATAATGAGTAAATAAAACCAAATAAAAAAAAAATTAAAAGAAAAAAATGAAAAAAAGAAAACACTTTGAAACACTCTCATAGAATAAAAATACCTTGAAAAAAATTGTGGACCACGACGAACGAAACCCGGACGATATACACACACAGGTTTCTGTATTTATGATTTTTAGTAATCGTCCAGGTCCACGTCGTCGAGGGGCTCGTCGGCTTGCAACGATTGAAAGTCCACTTTGTACCGTAGAATGCCTGAGAGATTTTGCCGGCCAAAAAGCAGCATGAACAGTAAAAATAACCCACAGAGAAGGTCGATCGTGTTAGTAACAGATCAAAAAGGAAAAAATCACCGCAAAAATCGATGATTATTCAACTCACCTCCGATTCCACCGAAACCCCGAACAAATTGCGATCCTTCCTGCGATTTATCCGTTATTATTTCGAGGGTAGCACCAAAGTTTTTATAGTTGTTCGCCAACCATTCAAGTAAAGGCTGACATTCGACCAATTCCAATTCAACGCCGCTCTAAACCAAATAATTAATTAATTCACTAATAAATAATTAATTAATTAATATTACATCTTTGTCGGTGAAATGCGATTTATCCTTTTCTTGCTCCGGCGTTAGATGTAACACAGTTTCCGTTCCAGCCGTGTGATTTTTCAAGACGTACCTTTGAATATCCAAGTTCTCCCAACAAATCAGCGTTTCAACTGAACCCAATTCCAAACCTTTTAGCGTATCTTCAACACCAAAACAATACTTCCCCGTATCTTGACTAATTTCATCAAAATATCTCCCAATTAACTTCTTCTCCTGTATAAATTTAACGTTTTGAAGCGATTCCGCCGCTAATTCTATCGCTTGATTAAACCCGTTTTCACCGCCATAGGATACATCGACCAATTTTATCACTTTTGCTTGAAGTCTCTAATACAAAAAAATTATTTTTATAACATTATCTTTAATTTTAAAATAACTTACCGGATCAAACATATCAGATTGACTCAATTCCGTTTTAAAATCAGCACTACCGGCTAAAATTAACCCGGCAATATTCGGTTTATCGTTGCTGATAAAGAGTTGTGTGGCAACTTCCGCTACTTTTCGAACGTAATTGTGTCGTTTTTCCATACGTAAACGGGCGAAACGCAGCGCGGATTGACCTCCCCTGCCGTGCTTCTTCGGTAGATCGACAGTGAATTTGTGCAGAACTTCGCGCGTGTTGCCTTGAAGCGTACCGAAAAGGGCTCCGTTACCGTCCATGACGATAAAACCGAATTTGTTGTCGTCGGCCAAGAGGGCAGTCAGGGCTTCCGTGTGGAATTTGTTGTCGCAAAGGTATAGAGAGGTGTTTATGGGTTTAAAGGGTTCGAAATCGATGTTTACTTTTTTTTCTTTGCCTTCATCTGTTACGATTGTTCCGCAATAGATTACCAAACCGTTTGGAGGTACTATAAAAAAAATTAAGAATTTGTATTGTTTAATTTAAAGAATTTAATTTAAAATGAATTATTATAACACAATTTAACTAATTATAAAAATAAAAGTATGATTTATGTTAAAGGTCTGAGACAAACCCAAGAATTAGTTTTTATCCTTAGGGTATAATTTGTTCCACAGATTAGCTCCAAAGCCAAACTTGTAATCTGATATTATTAACTTCTTCAGGAATTTGCTTCAAAATTGTGCTGGTGATCAGCTCAATTTTTTTGGTCTCAGTCCATCGATTCAGCGATATTAATCAAGATGTTAAGAGGGACAAGAAAATGTTGAAATATATCAAGATTTGTGTTCAGAAATGTCAGAGACGATGTTGAGTAAGACCAGGCACAATATTGAGAGACATTAGGGACAATGTTGAAGAGTGCCAGAAACGGTATTGCAGAAATTCAAGAACAATGTTGTATATCAGGCACGAAATAGCTGGATGTCAGGAAGTATGTTGAAAGATTTCAGGGATAATATTGACGAAGGAATATTGACGATAATATTGAAATTATGATGTTGAGAGATATTAGGTAGGATGTTTATGATGCCTGGAATGATATTGAAGGTTGTCTAGTAGGATATTGAAAAATCCTTAAGGAATTATTAATGAAGCCTAATTGATTGAGAGATATCAGGAATAATATTAATATATGATGAGAAAACAGTGAGGTGACCATGAAAGTGTTGAGATGGAATAATATATGTAGATGGATGACATAGTCAATGTTGAAGATCAGAGACAGCATTAGAAGATATCAAGGACGATAGTGAGACATTAGAGATATTCAAACAGAATATGCGAAAGATTGGGGATAATGTTGACGGTTGTCAGAGAAGATGATCAAAGATGTCTGGGCGATGTTTAGAGATGATATCAAGCACGATTTTGATATATGATGGGGAAAAGAAAGACGGTGTTGTTGAATGTTGACAACAGAGATGGTGATGGATGTCATAGACAATGTTGGGTATTGGGAATATTGACCAAGGACGATATTGGGATACATTAGGCATGACATAGACGCATGATAGTGACGATATTGGTAGACATGAGGGACGATGTTGAGAGTTATCACAGGTACCGTTGATGATTTTGATACATAATGAATTGGTTTGCGTTGGGCGATGTTGAATACATCAAGGACGACATAACCGGATGTTACAGACGATATTGGAAAATATCAGCGACGATGATGAGCAATGTCAAAAAACGGTATTGGTAGATATCAGTGCCGATATTGTAAAATGGTTGGGACGATATTTAGAGATATCAAAGATGATTTTGATATATGATGAGTTGGTTTGGGTTGGGCAATCATCACAAATAACATAAACGGATGTTAGTGATGCTATTGAAAGATATCTGGGGCGATGATGTAGACATGAGAGACGATGTTGATGAAATCCAGAGATGATGCTGGTAGGTATTAGCCACGGTGTTGCGAAATGTTTGGGATGATATTTAGAGATATCAAATATTACTGACGATATTAAGAGATAGCAACAACTATGGTGAGAGACGTTAGGGACAATGTTCATAGTGATTAGGGGCGGTATTATTTGGTTAATAGATATTGGGGAAAAGTAAGATAATCACGAAATGTTGAGATATCAGAAACAATGTAGAGAAAGGTGATGGTGGAGATCACGAACGATTTTGTGAGATGTTTGGAAAATATCATAAACGATATTAGAGAATACTGGCGATAGGGATGATGTTAATGAGGATATTTAAAGAGACCAGGGAGCGTTGAGAGACTATAAGGATGATGTTAAGAGGTTCGGAGGCAATGTCGAGAAAACCTGGAGAATATGTTGGCAGGTGTGACAGATAATATTGAAGATCCATTTGATAGGGTTTGTTGTAGTTGCCAGTGTTTCGCGAATACGCTCGTCGTGAACAACTGCTGTTCTAGAATTTGGAGTAAATATATTTTGTAAATGTTCAGTACAGACATTTACTTTTTCATTTCATTTTTGGCTTTTAAGAAGTATTCGGTACTTGTATTCTTATGTATCTATAATGTTTCTCTCAGTTGTCGTGAAGCCCTATTTAATATAATTTCATCCCTTTATTGTCAATGTCAAATATTGCACAGCGTTTTCTAGTTTTTTTATTTGTCAAAGCAGGTGGTTTAGTCAAAAGCCCCGCTTTCATTGCTGTTTCAACGGTTAATGGAGAATGGTCAGATGGTAACTCAAAGAAAGGCTAAATTTTAACGATTTTAAATAAACTTATACAGTTATACCAAAACAGAAACAAAACTTTGACAACAAGATGATGGAGGATATATAATTGCTTGGCAATAGAATTAACAAAGCTTGAGAGAGAAGAGGGAGAGATCTGAAGGAGAAGCATGTTAGCTAACAAAGCATATTTTGCACTTGTAAATATATTCTAACCAAAGACAATACACCGCAACAATAAAATTAGAGTACTCAAAACAATGATAAAACCCATCATCACTCAGGTAATGTTGTAATACAGTTACTAAACTAGCATTAATAGCAATTTTGAGAAAAGAGCAGTTTCCCGGAGAAACAGCTTTCAAGTTTAGCTCCTATTAATCCAGCTTTATTCTACCATATAACAATTATTACACAATGTTTTAAGCAATATGAAGCAGAGAAAGAGCTGAAAACCTCTTGCTGATGCTAGATAATAACTTGAGTGTAACACGAATGTGGGAGATAATATAACAAAGCGCAAATATTAAAATTACAAAATGAAGAATATAGCAAAGTGCTTGGGTCTGTGAATAGGCATATCTTTATAAATGACCAGTTTACATCAGCTGATATTTTTCAACCTTCTCAAATCTCTGGTCAAATTTTTAGAAGTGATAACGACGCAACTCAAAAGATGAAATAAACATTTCAAAAAACTATCCCCAAAAAAGAATCCACTTCCATACAACTGATTTAGTCCAAAAATTAAATAAAATATCACCAAATATTAGCAAAAATAAGAAGCAGAGAAATCTAATGGTTGGAGGAAAACACGATGAAATGTATGAAATGTCGCACTTGTCTGCATAACTGTGTGTGCAGGAATTAATCTCCAGACCTTACCTCTATCGACAATATGTAGCATACATAGTTGGTATTTTGAGGAAAAATAGCAAACTAAATTCCAAAGAAGTTACCAGTGCAAAGTTGAAGCAAGGCCATATAATTGCAAGGGAAAGTAACACAGGTGTAATAGTTCTAAAGTGGCAAGATAAGCGTTAAGTTATTTGTGTTAGTACAAAACATACAACTGAAATAACAAAAGTTCAAACACTTGGACGAACAAATTGAGAAACCTTTACGACTACAATAATAGCAAATCGTTGATTGATCTTTTATTGCTGTCAACTGAAAGCATATTTTTCTCCATTCAGAAAGGGATACAGAAAACTCGCCTTCAAATTATTGTTAGGAACCACAGTTGTCAATGCATCTTTACAAGAATGTTGCTAAGGATAAATTATCGATAACAGCATTCAAGAGTAGGTTATTGAAGGTAATCAATGAAACGGAACAACATATTTTGGAAGAAATGCAATCAAAAAATCGTCACGTTAATGTTTCTAAGCTGTAGGATGAAAGTAAGTACTGAAGCGTGTACCATGAGTCGCAGGACCCCCAAAGGTAAATTTGCATTAAGACAAACCGCAGTTCATATGACGGTTAACGTGTTAAAAAAATGTAGTGTGAGCAAATACTTTACTGACTCACTGTATTTTCAATATATCCATACATAAAGATTCAACAGGTTATGAAAAAGATATACTGCTTATAAATGCAGACTAATCAATAAGTAACAACATGTCACTGCCCTTAAAATCCAAAACATGTATCTAATAAGTACACAAAGTCCATAATCTGATTCAGCATTATCCTTGAGAGTACTTTACTTGGCACTGACACAAGAGTGATGCCTCGCCAGTTGTTACAATTCTTTGGTAGTTTTACTTTAATTCATGTTTCCAGCCTTTAGGCAACTTTTCTTCTATCCATATCTTCTCAAGTAATGGGTGTAATAATCCAACAGTAGTCTCAATGTCTTGTTTCAGTACTTCAGGTGCACTGTTGTCTATACCAGGTAACTTTTTATTGATTTAATTTCATTGCGAGTTAGTGCCTTTATGCTAATGCCAGCATCACTAACTGCTTCATTTCCTTGCGTCTTTCTTGTCCTATGTTTAGAACCTTGGAGAAATATTCTTTCCACATCTTCAGCTGGTCTTCTTGTGTGTCAACAGTCGAACAAATTACAAAAGTTCATTACTCAATCCCAGCGATACATTATAAACGTGAGGTGGTCCTATGTGATATCGAATGAAGACTTATGGGAGAGAACACCAACCAACCACCCATTAGTGACCAAATCAAGGAGAGGAAAAAGGTAAGGAAGCCTCATGGAGCAGTTGAGACGTCAGCGCTTGACTGGAAAAATAGCACGGAGACGAGGGCGCCCTAGAAATGCGTGGAAGAGAACTGTTGAGGAAGAAAAAAAAGCCAACCAGACCAGATGGAGAGTCTTTACTGCTGCCCTATACTCCACGAGAAGCGACAGAAAAAAAGTAAGTAATAGGATGACCTAAGAATTCAACACAAATCGTTTGAAATATAATCTATGAAAATACATTCTGATATTGACCCTCATAAATTTTCATGTAGTACTGATCAATCAACCCACGACCAAAACCATTGAAAAGTTTTCAAGTAATGGGTGTAATAATCCAACAGTAGTCTCAATGCCTTGTTTTAGTACTTCAGGTGCACTGTTGTTTATAGGGGAGACTGTTGTACCTTGATCATAGTGTACCTTGGATCACCCATCAGTTTACCAGCAAGTGCTGTTATCTAGTGGAATTTGAAGGAACTACTATGTTGTTTTACTCGCTAGAGTTCAGTTGAGGCTGAGAGTGATTGTCAATGTGCTGTAGTTCTTGAATAAAATAACAATACAAATTTTTCGTACTAAAAGTAGCAATTTTTGGTGTTACAGTTCATTTTTTTTCTAGTTTAATAGTTGGTTTTTAGTTTTCTAGCACATTCCATCTGATTACCTGCTTATTGGTGAGCAATTTGTTACGCCACACTTCAGGTTTAAACATAACCTATAATATTTAGGCGATTAAGTTTGGAATGACGCACCCTAATGTACCTTGAATCAAAACAACGTCTTGTAGCATTGATCAGTGATCATCGGTACATGATGTTGCAATTATTCGTTCTTTTTTGTAGGTCAGTACCATGCCACGAAGTAAAAGGGGGAAAAAAGGGATCCTATTAACCCTGAATTGATGAAACAAGCGGTTGTGGCTGTCACTGGACCCCCAGAGAAACATATATATCTATAAGAGAAGCTTGTAGGGTTTTTAATGTAAAATTTGCAACTCTTGTACGGCATATTAATGCTTTTAAAACATCTGGTGCAACAAACTTTGAATATAAGGCTAACTATGATGTCAAGAAAGTGTTTACAAAAGAAGAACTAAAACTAGTAGATTATATTAAAACCATCGCAAAAATGAATTATGGTCTATCCAAAAAACAGGTTCGGGAATTAGCCTATAAGTTTGCTGTTGCCAAGAAAAAGAGATTCCCTTCAACTTGGGACGAAACTAAACTTGCAGGTGAAGAATGGATGAGGCTATTTATGAAACGGCATTCCAAAGAACGTGGCATATTCGTCAGAAAACCTGAAAAAACCAGCATGTCATGTGCAACTAGTTTTAATAGAACAAATGTTGAAAGATTTTTTAATAATTTGGATGATGTCCACAAGCGCTTTGGACCATTTTCGCCAGAAAGGATTTGGAACCAAGACGAGACTGGCGTTACAACGGTCCAAAATCTTCCAAAAATTGTCTCAGCCAAAGGTGCAAAACAGGTTGGTAACGTGACGTCAGCAGCGCGTGGAGAGTTTAATAACAGTATCCGCTTGTGTCAGTGCTTTAGGAAATCACATACCTTCTATGATGGTGTTCCCCAGAGTCAACTATAAAGATTACATGTTGAATTAAATGTTTGATCTTTCGGTTTTTTCCCGTTCAAAGCGTATTACAATCAAGCAGTCCAATCTTGGCTTATCAACAACCCTGGAAAAAGAGTTGATATTTATTGTGTCGCAGAGTGTGTTGGTCAGGCTTATCGTAGAGCATTCACCACTACCAACATAACTAGTGGCTTCAAAAAATCAGGAATTTACCCCATTGATAGAGGAGTGTTTAATAATGATTATTTACCATCATATGTAACGGATCGTCCCGCTCCAACGGCTACTACCCCTACTGACATTGGGGAAGATAACACCTCAACTTCAAAGCCAAATGAAACAAGTTGTTTTCTAGAAAGTGTGGTAGTGCCAGCAACGAGCCAATGTATATCAGTGAGTAATTTTTGAAATGAGAAACTTAGTCAAACTATTATGACTAGTTCGTCCATTGTAACTCCAGAGCATATTCAACCTTACCCTAAGTCTGTGGCTAAACAAAATGTAGGCGTAAAAAAAGGAAGAAAACCTGACTCTTCTAAAATAGCAACAGATACGCCAGAAAAAAATATAATTCGAGAGAGAAACCAACAATTAGTGCAAAAAAATTTAAATACCGAGAAACAGAAGAAGAATAAGACTAAAAAAGGGTGTTCTATTAAAAAATTGGATTGAATCAGAAAATGAAGACATGGATTTGGTAGGCACATCAGGAGATGAAGATGATGTAATAGACCTATTAGACATAGTAAACCAGGAAATTAATGAAACCAAAGAAAATAATTTTGAAAGAGCAACATTTAAAGAGGGGGATATGTTTTGGTAGGATTTAGCAAAAGAATTGGGCCACCAGTGCATTGTGGGCAAGATTATTTCCAAAAACCAACATCATTTTGCATTCTACAAACGAATTGAAAGTGGCAGCAAATTTTTGAAAAAATCCGAAGAAATATTTGATGTTGTAGCTCAAGATATTGTGGTTTAACTACCAAATACAGTGAAATTGAAGGGATCGGCCAGAACTGATGGGCTGTTGTGGTTTCAGGTGGACTTTACTAACTTTAACGTAAAATAATAACTGATTTTGAGTAAAAGCTAATTTACTTTAAGCTTTTTGTAACAATAGAATACATGTGATAGTATAAAAATGTAGTTTTTAATTCATTATGCCTGTCTTAAACACTCAAGACGTTGATGATCCAAGGTACAATAGGATGTGATCAATAACATATAAATAATTTTTTTTCTCAATAACCTTTAAACATTTTAATTATTTAAAAATATATAGTGTGCAGGAATAATAATGCTATCAGAAGATATTTTTTACATTGTTGTATTTCAAAAATGGATTTAAAAAAAATTAAAATGTAAAATGTGTTCCTAGGTACAACAGTCTCCCCTACCTAGTACCTTTCCATTACTGATCTGCTTGAGAGCTGATTTAATTTCACTGCGAGTTAGTGCCTTTATGCTAATGCCAGCATCACTGACAGCTTCATTTCCTTGTTTCTTTCTTATCCTTTATATAAAACCTTGAAGAAATGTTTTTTCCACCTCTTGAGCTGGTCTCCTTGTGTTGTTAACAGTCGAACAAATTACAAGAGTTCATTAATCAATGCCAGCGACACATTATAAACGTGAGGTGGCCCTAAGTGATATTGAATGAAGACTTATGGGAGAGAACACCAACCAACGACCCATTAGTAACCAAACCAATGAGAGGAAATGGCTAAGGAAGCCTCATGGAGCAGTTGAGACATCAGCGCTTGACTAAAACCGCCAAATAGCACAGAGACAAGGGCGCCCAACAAATGTGTGGAAGAGAACTGTTGAGGAAAGAAAAAAAAGCCAACCAGACCAGATGGAGTCTTTACTGCTGCTCTATGCGCCACCAAAAGCGACGGGAAATAAGTAATTAGAAACAATTCAACACAAATCATTTGTAATATAATCTATGAAAATCCATTTTCAATCAACCCACCACCAAAACCATTGAAAAGATTCTTTGTTGTGATAAGTCCCATGACAACAGAATCCATTGTAACTATTACAACATGATTATAATGTGTAACCAAACCTTTTTAATGTTTAAATAATAATCAATATGTTGTTCTGCTGACTTCTTGGTATTCATAAATATTAATTTTAATTTCTTCATTACAGCAGCTGTTCTACCTCTTGAGATGGTCCATTATCTTACTTATCTTAAACATTGACCTCTTATTATATAACTTAATATCTATAAAATTAATAATATACATTTTCAAAAATTGTTTCAATCAAATTTTCTTAATTTATCTATATCTACATAAACATTACATATTTACACCTATCTTAAAAGACTTATAATCTATTTACTTCTCTGGATTTCCCGTGAAACGAAAATTTCATTTAACATTAAGTAGCAGAAAAAAAATGTATAACTTATATTAATAGGATTTATTACATAGATTAATAGAAGTAAATATCAATTACCTTTAGTGTATAATTTCAGCCGGTGTTGTACAGAAGTAATAGCACCTAAGACAGAAAGCCTATTGACCCGAGACTTGATATTAGAGGCGGTACCAAATTCATCAGCCAGCATTTTACTGACACGCGATATTTGATCTTTCGGCGGGATAATTAGAGAGATCATACTTGTCCCATTCCTAGAAGATGTACCAAGAAAAACCATAAGAAATACTTTGGATGACGTGTGACCGTATGGATACAAATGGGGGCACTCACCCTCTCGCCAATTCCAAGCTCTTTATTAACTTCTTTATCTTCCATATTTCGACGTTTCGGTCGGCGGACGTTTCCTCGTTTGACATAACTAATAAAAACTATTTTAAAAACTACCGTCCGAAAACTATATAGGAAAACGCGTGTTGACCGCAAGCAAAATGGCGCCGCCGTGAACAGTTACTTTTTGCGGCTCCAAACTGGTTCGAACCAGATACTAAATCCGAAGAATCAATATTTATTGAAAACTTTTTAACGTCAACTTTTAATTAATCACTTTATGAATCATTTTTAACAATCCTCCGTTATAATTAAACCTTCAACACTTAATAATAACGAAATAAAATTTTCAAATTTAAATTGAGTTGGTAACAGATTTAGGGGAAAATTTGACACAACGCATGTGTTTTTGACGTTTACAAAATTTGTTTTTTCTTTTTAATAAGAATTTATGGAATTTAAATGCCGCTTACACCGTTTACAAAAAGAAAAATCAAATTCGTCGGGTTTCTTTCTATGAGCTCATTGTATGTAACTAAAAAATCATCACAATAATCTTTCAAAAAAAATTTGAGGTTATGTCGGAACTTAACCTCAAAATTATTCCCTATTTATTATTTATTTCATTTTTAGAGCAATTTGGGTATCTTTACAAGTGAAAAAAACGCGTGAAATACTTAACGGTGCTTTCGACCCATTCATTTTACATATAATCGAGCCGAAAGGTGTCGATGAAAACGTTTACGCAATAACGATTGATGCGGCTCGTTGGATTAAAGTACCCAATTCCGAAGAATCATTCCTTATTAAGCAATGGAAGGCGTTAAAATTTGCTTACGCCCGGCGTTTACTTAGCCTAACAAAAGCCGATAGTCATGTAATTCGAACAAAAGCCACTTTACAATTAGCTAAAATAAAAGATTTGGAATCATGGCAATACGCGCAATTAGCGCATTCATCAAACGCACGAACTGCAATTGCTTTGGCCCGTTTACCAGATGCTGATTTGCGGTATCAAATACAACCGTTGGTTTCACCAAATCGGATCTCAACAGAGTATTTAGTGAATGTTTTGCGAGATTTTTTGGTGTATTTGGAAAGGCAGAGTGCTCATCATTGTATTAGTAATTTCTTGTCAAGTTCGTTTAGTGATTTACACGATTTAACTAAAACGGAATTTGAAAATTATTTTGATCACACTGATCATATTGCTAAATATATGAGATCAACAGCGGATATCCTTCCTTTATGTTTAGAATCGATTTTGCATCATTCTACAATAAATAAACATGCGAGAGATATTGCTGAATATAATGGGTTATATTTGTTGTTGGAGGTTTATAACCGGTTTCAACATGTTTATGAGATGAATGTGGGGTTGTGTACTATTATATCAAATTTATCTATTTTTCCTGAATTAGCTGATGAATTTCATAAAATTGGTAAAAAATTGTTTGTTAAAATTAAAAATTTTATTAATGTATATTAAAATTAATTATTTTAGGCTGGATTTCTATTCTTGCAAAATGGGCCCAAGATAAAGATATTCGTTTATCAGTGACTGCAAGTAGAGCTTTGGCTAATTTAGATGCTGATGATAAAAATCGGGTTATTTATCAGCGAGGTGTTTATAGTTTGTATCCGACCATGAGGAGCAATGAACAGGCTAAAGTAGATGTTATTTTTATTCATGGGTTGTTGGGTGGTGTGTTTTACACATGGAGGCAAAGGAATCAAGCGGATCAAACTTTAGGAATATTTGGTAAGGTTCATTAATTGATTTTAATGAAGTATTACTGTTATTAAAAAGTTGGTTCTTGCAACTTGTAAAAACTAATCAGAATTATGGACAGTAGAGTTTAAAAGGACTGGTAACTCTTATGTTCTTCTGCCATTAAAAAAAAATGACGTCAATGGCGGACCACTACATTATACCACATGTAGCATTATACCAGCTTAACCCCTTAACCCTTTCACGCCTATTGCTACAATTGTTGGGATATCATATAATAATAATATATTTTATTGCCCAACAGTGCACTGTGGCCCAGAATCGCGATAAAATGTGACAAATATCAAATATATACAGGGTCATCCACGACGACCGTCCATTAGAACTATACAGGTTCTGGCCAAAATAAAAATTTGAAAATTTTAATTTAGGTATTATCAATTGCGTTCTCTTCGACTAAAATATTTTTAGATTTCTAGTTCTTCCGGTTATACCGGAAGACGCCACCTACTTTATTTTTTTAAATGCAACACCCTATATATTTTTATACCGGGTGTCCCTCAAAAGTGGCTCACCCCCAAGGTTTATATATAAGAGGTTGTCTAGGTTCGTACGCAATCATACTGCGCATTACGTCACATGTGGAAAATAATACCGCCAAGCAATTCAAATTAAACAAAGGCATTGAGCACCACATGGCCATGAGGTTGCGTGCGCAATCCGTGATCGCTTACGTCACGAAACACTCCTGCTCTTGCCCCTCGCCCACGAACTAAAATCAAAGTATTGCAGCATAGGAACTTAGACAACCTTTAATATATAAACCTTGGCTCACCCCCATATTTTTCTTTATTATTGGTGATATAAGAAAACCATTTGGAATGCATAGTTAGGTCGCTAAAACGGATTATTACGACATGAAATCATTCTTTTTGTACTTCCGGTTATACCGGATGTGAGTACTAATTTCGCTATTTTTTTAAATCTATAATTTTTTTTTCTTCAGTTGGGTTGATAGTATAATTTCACATAACTTTTACTTGAAAAAATTTTCACGATCGCTTATAATTTTTGAAAAAAAAATTATTTTCGTTATTTTATAACGTTTTAGTACCTTCGGAAAATGTATTACAACTTTTGACGCATAGTAGCTAGGTTAATAGTATAAACTACGTTATGTCCCTCTTGATTTGCTATTTCTCGAGCAGTGATCACTGCTATGCTTTAGTCAGTGGTTCTTTTTTAATAATGGTGTAAATTAACAGTTGTATTAAATTAGTTTTAAAAGAAAAACGCGATCAAACAATTAAGTTTAATTCAATTATTTTTGATTTTTTATTTTTTTCTTTATTTTTTGTTCTTTTACACTAAATGTTCTGTAGCTGATAGTAACTTACAATGTCCATTGTACATTATAATTTGGATTGTTTACTTTATTTTGGTTAAAACCTCTCAGATCACCTGACCTCACACCTTTAGATTCTTTTTATGGGGCAAAATCAAAAATGAGCTGTATAATACACCAGTAAGGTCTCGTGAGGTATTAGAAAATAAATCGAGTTAGAAAAATCTCCGCAGGAATAACGTCGGGTCGTTAGATCGACAATACGCAAGATACAATAAAATTATGTCAAAATCGAGGCGGGAGCATTTTAAAAATTTAGAAAATTAGTTTTTTTGAACTTACAATAGGCAACCCCCATATTTTATTGCTTAGTCGTCTTCAGTGTCTCATCTTTTATATCCCATATGTCCTATACCTAACATTTATAGTTTGGGAGATAATTAGTGTTCTTTGAAAAATGCACACACATCATGTCGATATTTACCCTAGTGTGCCATGAATATCTAGTGTGACCTAGTGAATAACCAAATGAAGTGCGGATTTTAAAATTTGCAAACTTGTGATGTCTGATGCCAGCTTTTTAACTAAAATATTTTCATGTTCCGGATACTTGTTACACTGGAAGATGTGACAATTTTCATATTTCAAATGGAACAGCCTGTATTTTATTACATTTTTGAAATTTTTGTTCAACCTTGTACCTAAGTTGAGTCATTTTTGAGATTTAAATTTTTTGTAATCAAAAATGTCAACTACAACTAGAGCTTGCAATACCGGGATCCCGGACAATTTTTGTCCGGTATTATAAACCGGTATTGATGGCAAAATACCGATATTTCGGTATTATTTTTATTTAGCGCCCTCGATGGCCGGGGGCGGCCGATGTCTTCGAAAACCGTCGCGCTAGTTTGATGTTGTGCTGGAAAATGACGTAGAGGATTCGTGTTTGTTATCTATTTTCTGTCCGTTCCAAGTTTACATTTTCAAGTGACATTTTTTGACGTTTCATTAACAAAATGCTAGCCGGAAGCGACCGATTGAAAACGGCCGTGTTTGTTTAAAGCTGTGCTGAAAAATGATGTTGACCAAACAGAAATTTGTTATCTATTTTATGTCCGTACTAACCTCATTTTTTCAAGTGACATTTTTTGATCAGTGGGAACACCATCTACAAGAAATATCATTTTGTACTCTGACAGAATGTTGAAGATAACGAAGACTCAACCTTTGATGACGACAACTTAACCCAGATATGCCTAAATTAAAACCACTTTACAAGTCATAATAACTTTATTGAAAACTTATTTAAAGAAACAAAACAAAGTCTTACAAACAAACCATGACAATTTGTTTTTTTTTAATTGGANAGTCTTAATATACATGGGGTCGCAAATGCCTCGTTGGCGAGATATAGCGGATCAAAGTTTCTTTAAAATTAAACATTATCTGCTATAAAAAGCACTTTTTTAAAAATATTGTCTACGCCATTGCTCTCTACGCGTGTAAAGTGATCAATTATCTATCAATTGGTCCCTTAAAAAACTTTGATCAAAGAAATTTTTAAGAAAAACACGTTTGTAGAAAATTTGTTAATTCAAGCAAAGTCAGTTTAATACAGTAACATCGTGCATCGTAGTGTGTTAAGCCGAGGTCGCTTGCCACCAGTTTGTGTTGATATGGTATTAATTGTAGCGACTCGATATTCTGTGATTTTCGATAGGTAACGTAGCGAGACTAGTTAGTCATGTTTACGATATTATTGAATTTATTGATGGCAAGTAGGTCTTTATTAATTTTAATTTGGAAAAACTGTGTCCTCCAATTGCAACTGTACCAATAAGGTATTAAACTAAAACTAGAACTAACACTAGCACTATCACAAGAACTAACACTAGACCTAGAACTAGAATCTTTCGGGTTAAGCCGTGCGTTTTTTGAAAAAATGTTTGACGTTTCGGATGCCATGTTGCAACCTTCTTCAGAATCAAGTTCGAAGTGACACTTGTGAAGTGGTCGAAGTGGTCACTTGGTGAAGTGGTTTGTTCGAAGTGGTCACTTCGAACTTGTTTCTGAAGAAGGTTGCAACATGGCATCCGAAACGTCAAACATTTTTTCAAAAAACGCACGGCTTAACCCGAAAGATTCTAGTTCTAGGTCTAGTGTTAGTTCTTGTGATAGTGCTAGTGTTAGTTCTAGTTTTAGTTTAATTAATATCTACCGTGAAAGTTTTCGTACTTACAATAAGGTATTGTTAGAATACGCTGAGTTATTTGGGTTATCTTTCAGGTAATGTGGCAGACTCAAGATTTTGTCGTACAGTAAGCCTCCATTAATATCCAATTTAGAGTTGAATATTAGTTTTTTTTTTTTCAATACAGAACTATCATTCAACAGTTGTTCTTTATTTTGATTTTCATTTATGTTAAACAAAAAAAACCTAGTTTTAGAAAAATCTTTAAGTTGACTAAATGTTTCTTTTATTGACATAAGCACCTTGTCTAAGAGATTATTAAAGAATTGTATTTCAAGCATATTTTCGGGTCGTTTGGTTCATCACCAGGTTAACACTTAATACGTCTTAGTCGCTTTTAGGGTTTAAAAATTGGCTGCACATTTAGTTCTGACGCTATTTCAGTTGCTGCTGTAACCAGCCACCATGACATGTGGACCACATCTCATGGTGGCTGTTAAAATCCCCCCAGAAAGTATATTGCTGGAGCAAATGTACAAGTCAGGTGAGTGCAGTAGGTTTGTAAATGTTAGCTATTGTGATATTGCCGATTTTCACTGTTATCTCGTGGATGTTGTTCTTGGTAGAAGTGGAGAGTAAAGAAACATTTTCTACGACTGTGCGTACATATGTTACCGCACCACTTCTATCATAGGTAGCGCCGTGTAGGTCATAGCCTGGATTTTTTCCTCTTAAGCTCAGTTGAACTTCGTTTTCTGTGTGCGTTTCCTGAATTGCAACCAAATCAACATCGTTTTCTTTAGCTCTACTGTATTGCCTTCTATATTAAAGTGGCAATCTCGTATACTAGGCCCGAGCTCTCAAGCAAGCTTGCCAAGAGCTCGAACTGGCTCTTTTCTTGTCAGGAGATCCAACGTGTAGTATTCTCTTACAGATGCGAACTAGCCCCTACTACTAGTGGATGGATTCTCTGCCCTGTTTCTTTTCTATTATCTATGCCTATGGTCTTCTTTATTTGTTGTATTTTATCCTTGCTTCTTATTCTTTCGCATTATGCCCCACAGTTTTTACAGTTGAGCATTTTTAATCACTTTTACATTCTTCGGTCAAATGATTTCCTCTTCCGCAATTATATCACCCCACATGTGTGCTTCCATCCACACTTGTGCAGTCCTTGATCAGGTATGATGGCGACTAGCATCTAAAGCATTTTATAATCTTTATTCTTCCTTCTATTTGGCATAGGGCCAAATTTCCAAGTGCCTTTCTGATCAACCTCCACTATTACCTTCTTGTTCTGGGAATACGGTCTCAGATTTTCCACATTAAAATATTCTTCCTCTACAGTACCATCTTTCACCATTACCTTCTTCCTGGTTGTTGTCACTTCCATACCCTTTATATTTAGGTAAATCATTCATTTACGCTTTATTAGTCCTCTAGAACTGATTCTCTGCTCTTTATCGCCGTTAAAGATTTTTTCTATATTTTCAGTGGCATTTTTATTTTTGCGTTATCACCAGCACTTTTTATCTCTTGTCTTTTTTATTCCCTCAATCTTCTTCACCTCCGCTCTTCCCCTTATCTGCCCTTTCACTACATTTTCGTATTTCCTTCTTGTGTTTCGATAACTAACGCGTAGGTTTTTCTTTCTTCTCCCCTTGTTCATCTCTATCTCTACATATAAAGTATTAAATAAATTTAAAATAATTCTTAATTTAAATAATAATAATAAATAATTTAATTTATAATTTATAATATAGTGAGCAACCCTTATAATACAAGGTGTTTCAAAAGAAATGTTCCGAATGAAAACATCAAAAAATTTACAAATTAACCCAATAAGATCACAAAAATATTTATGCTTTCATTTGGAATACTTCTATTATTAAAACACCAATTTTTATTTCAGTATCGTATTTTCACACCAATTAGGTCTTTTAGAATCGTTAACCGGTGAACCGGAAATTTATTCTCTTCGAAAATACTATTCAAGCGACGAAGTTATGCAAGAATACTTTGAACGTTACGAAGACCAATCCCGATTAGATTGGGAAGCCTTGGGTTCCGATTACGAAGTCATCTCGCGCGATATCCCAACAAACGCCAACGTTGAAGAGGAGGAAGCCTACTGTTGTAGCTCGTACGACAAACTATGCGATAACACCCGAAAAGTAGAAGCTAGGACGCAGTGTTGGCCGAAAGATTGGTTAACAACCGATTGTCAAAATTTACGTATTTTAGGAATCAATTATGATACATCTTTATCGAAATGGGCGGGAACTTGTCCCGAGGAAAGTTGTAAGTTGTCGTTGGATGAACGAACGGAGGATTTGATGGAGAAATTATTGCAAGCTGGAGTGGGAAAAAGACCGATTGTTTGGGTGGCGCATTCTATGGGGGGGTTATTAGTGAAAAATTTATTGATTAAAGGTAAGTTATTTTAATTAATTGAACCACGTCTAAAATAAACGTATTAGGATAGCCCGTAAACTTCGCCCATCTCTCCTGCCACCTTGCCATTAGTTCTCTTCTTGCTTCACTTTTATAATACACTCTACTAAAGGTTATTTAAAATAACTCTTCACTTTTCGTATTATTATTTTTATTAAATATTAACTGAACACACATGAAAACTTATATCAAGAACTTATTTCTCTAACGGTCGCGTCTCTCTATCTCTCTCTCTGTTTTAGTACCAACCTCAACCTTCATTTTCTCCAACACACTCTTCCTTCGTATTTTTCTTTCTTCTACCAGCAGGTCCAGTGGCGATACGACCGCAATTGTTTCTATTCCCGTTCCTGACACGATCCAGTAAAACCTCACGAACAATGATTGTTTGGGTTTCTGCTACGAAAAATTTTACAAAGCCGCGTCATTATGGCTCTCGAAGAAGACCAAAACCGTTCATGTCTGGCACATATGGAAAAACTGAATCAGTTACGCGATCAAACGATAAAAAATATCGAAAGGATACAACGAACACAGAAAGAGAGAAGTGATAAGAAGTACCAATAACCTCGAAAGTACTAAGAGGGAGATCTGGTCTTGATTAGACGAGAGATAGCGGCTACAGGACAGCCTAGGAAGGTGATGCCATCTTATAAAGGACCTTTTCTCGTAAACACTGGTCTGGGAAATGATAGATAGATATAGTTTAACACATACTAGGTGCTCAAGAAACCCAGCAAAAATTTAGTTCGATTTGTGCTGCAGACCTCATGAAACCATGTTGCCGAATACCGGATGACGTCGACTATGGAATCTAGCGACACCTATTGAATATTTTCAAGTTATCGGAACAGTACTGATCGATAAAAGAAAAGAAGTTGAGAGACAAGAGTGAAAAACGAGCAGTTTGTGTTTGAAACATGGTTGAACTCTCGGTTGTAATTACTAAGAACCCATATGACAGGCGAGTTTTGATGAAGGTTCGCGTTCGTATTAAGGTGCATTTAAACCAAACGAACAAAGAGCTAGAGCTAGAACAAGAGCATTCTTTCTTGATCTTTTAGTGTAAACGAAAGCGCGTTTTTAGCGTTTATACCAAAATATCAACGAGCAAAAATGAGAATCAAGAATTAGAATTCTTACACATAGATGTTTAGATCAGCCGAACGAATGCTCATTCGGCTAGAACACAAGAACGCTTTGAAGAGACCGCTCCGATGAGCGAGCACGTCCGAACACGCAAGAAGGCTCTAAGCAATTGTTCGCACGCTCTAATGCCGTTTACATCAAGCGATCGAACATTCTTAGAATATTCCCTAGAATCTTTGAGAACACAGACAGAACAACGAAAGAATGCTCTACATCTGTTTACACTAAAAGAATATGATAGAGTGAGGATAGAATGAGCATTCGCTCGTGTGGTGTAAATCGGCCCTTAGATGTACATAAAAGAAATGTAATATTGTTCCGGGTGAATCGCTGTGGTACATTAAAGTTCAATTCAGGCAAAAAGTCAGGAGCGTCCAGCATGCCATTGACCAAAAAAGAAAGATTAAATCAGATACACCTCGACGCTGCGATAAAAAGTTCAAAACCACACCAAGTCTATCGTAATTACAATTGGGAAAATGATATTTATATGCCAAATATCAAACAAAGCGTCGTTGAACTATGGAACCATAGGATACTTATTAACAAATGCCATAGAAAGGGATTTAATGCTGGTAAAATTGGTAAATTTTCTACTTATTCTGATAACCAAGTTCCGCAGGATCTTTTTTACCATGAATTTGATATGAAGGTGATATCTCAATTTGGCATCAGTAGTGTAATAATGAGAGTTCTAGACCGGAAGTCAATTCTGCCGTGACGTCACACTTCAATGTATAAGGTATAGAGAGCGGTGCCAACCGAAGTTTGGGGGAAAAAAATTTGGTTGGTATTAAAAGGAACTAGATCTAGGGATTTTTATAAAAGTAAAGTTTAAATACAATGGCTTCACCTAGAATTGAATAGTGTAAGTAGGAGTGAGATAAATATTTAAAGCGCCACCTAGGATTGAGTGGTGTAAGTAAGAGTCAGTGAGAAGTGAACTGTAAATTAGCGTAACTTGAGCTGAAAAAATTAAATGGTTAAAAACAATTTTATTTTTATACATTTTATACTAATTATTACACTACTGGCATCAAGTACAATGCCAAGATCCTAAAATATGTCGGTACAGATAATAGCTTTACCATTAAAGTTGTAATTAAAGTTAATAGGATAACGTTTCCATGTAAACGTTATTTTTTGGCATTTGTCGCAGTTAAGATAAAGTTTGTTGACGCGACAATAGTCATGCAGACGGTGAAGGCCATCTTGAAGCCTTAGGCAGTCATAACTTGGGCCGATTCTTGTAAATATTTTATTATCATCCGCATAGAGCAGGAATTTGAAGAATTTAAAACAAGAGGAAATGCCATTGATGTAAATTAAAAATAATGTGGGGCCGAGGTGATTTCCTTGAGACACGCCTGATGAGATAGGTTTGTAATCAGATAGAAAGTTACACATCTTGACTGCATGACCTGTGTTCGATAGGTGTGACATTATTCAGCGGAGGACAGGTTTTGTATAAGAAAGGTATGGTCTTATTGAAGGCTTTAGAGTAATCGGTGCAAATTACGTCAACTTGTGAGTTCTCATTTAAGGCAAAATGGATAAAATTAAGAAAGGACACCAAGTTAGACTCAACCGATCGCGCAGACAAGAAACCATGTTGTACAGTAATGGAGAGTGAGATATAAAGGAAGATTGCATGCCATCTGGACCAGGGCTAGAGAGCTGGTCAAGATAGGTCAAAACATTAAAATAAACATACTCTTTGAACTTTTCTTATTCGCTAAGCAGTCCTTTCTAATGTATTTCCTTATTCAACCTGTTTCTGGTTAGGATTTCCATCAGCATAAGTTAATAATACAAGTTGGCTTTCGATATGTCTCATAGGTTTTTCTATTAATACGATTAGACGTCTTCAAAGAGGCTAGAAACATTCCTTTCTTAAGACGTTACTTTGTAGTATAGCCGTATTCGCTGTTTACTCCAAACATATGATTTAGCCGTAGTTTTGTGAAGGTGACATGGAAACGCAGTAAGTGTCATTACTGTCATTAGCATACGATAAGATTGAATATACATTGAACGAATTCTTACTACCGAAATTGAATGAGTTAAATTTAGAGGATTTGTGGTACCAGCAAGACGGTGTGACAACGCAATGCGCGACATCATGGAGATTTTGATCTTTTCCAGGCCCTTTGTTGATTAGGGGATTTTGGTTGGCCAGCGAAATCGCACGATTTGACGATTGCTCTGTGCTCCTGATCGTTGTAAAATGTTATGAAAAGAGCTGATCATTTTCGAAACATGAAAAAATAACATATATAATGTATAACATCGTATTACGATAGTTCATCATCTGCAATGTGCCGCGATAGGGATTTGAAATCTGCTAACAGATTTACCATCATCGATATGGTAGTGTCAAGTTGGAGCTTAAGCTCGTCTATAGTTTTCTTCTTAGGGGCCATATTTCTATTTTTCGTTTTATTCTTACCACGTCCGGATCTTCATTTTCTTGCAAGCCTTTCATCAACGTGGATTTTCTTTCTTTTAGCATATCGCATAGCGCCATCTTGATGCCAGCATGTTTCCATTCCTGACATAATATAGAATATTCGTTGCTGAATGCAGAATTCTATTTGTAAACAATTCCAATTGCGGCGTTATTATGGATGCTATTATCCTTATTTGTTCTCTTATGACGAAGTATAGCATCAATGTTTAGTCTCTTGGTTATTTGTTTTTCGGCGTCCAGTTTTCAGTTAAATGTCACTCCTAAGTTTGCAATTTCTCTCCTCATCTCTATATTTTTTTGGGACATTCAGAGACCCTTCGTTTGTGCTTTACCTGTGCTTCCTGTTTCAGTCTTCTGCATATTCAATCGATTGTAGCACTAGTTCGTGCGAATCAGATTTGGTTCGCACTGCTGCGAAACTTTCCTTCAGTTTGGCCACTATCTCCGTATCATCTGCAAATTGAAAAACTGTTGCCTGAATTGTTTTCATCGTAGCCAAATTCTATATTATATGGTAAAGGGGAAAGCGGAGAACCTTGCAACAAACCTTGTTTCATTCTTCTTACGCCGGGAACTTTATCTCCAATTTGGACCTGTAAGTACCTATTCTTCAACAAGGAAGCTTTCACTTTCTTTAGGATTCGTTCCTGATTAGCCTTCATCATATCTGCCAGCAGGCCATCTTGCCAAACGGATTCGTAAACTTTCTAGACATCTAATAGCACTGCAATAATTTGGCTTTTATCCTAAGCAAGTTCCAACGTTTCAAAGTTATCACGTTCCCCGGACGCCTCATTTGGGTTATACATTGCGATGTATACAATTCTGCTTGTATCTCCATCGAAATCAAGCTCTGTTCCTATCGCTTCCATTTCCGTGGTTAAAAGGGCCTCTCTTGCCGGATATCTGGAACTTATGTAAACTGCAGCGCCTGTCCCCTGTCCGTCTCTTTCTATCCTTTCTGAAATATTTAAATTTTGGTATTCTATCGGACTGATGTGGCTGCAGATGGGTTTCGCTTATCATCACTGTCATGAAGAGATCTCTTCATTGTTTCCAAATACCAAAAGTTTTTCGGACTTTTTGTTAATTCTGTGGTCGTTCCGTGTTACCAGCCGTTTTCCTGAAATAAAATATCGTTAGGTTTACTTACTATTTTTGATCTGTGCTATCGTAGGCACCAATCTCTAAAAAATATTGAGCACTATGTGGGTAAGCACTTGATCTTCAACATCTTCGCCTTTGGATGCGACAGGGCCTTTGATGCAGCAACCTCCTCAGAAAAAGCAGCTTTACTAAGACACTCCTCTTTTGATTTTGCCATTCTAAACCTTGGCCTTTCTTTCTTCAGCCTTTCATTTTTCTTCCTTTTTTTTCTGTTTAGGGCAACTTCTGGAAATTTTGAAAGCGGATTATTGCAATTTGCGCATCTAGCCGACGAGGATCTTATCTTTGGGCATTCAAATGATGGATGCTTACTCCGCCGTATATCTGTAGACAACGTACCTAAGCAGTCGACATTTAATTAACAAACTTCCCGGACTTAAAACTTCATCCCTTCTTTATTCTTGGTAGTATCACCAGAACAACATCAACTTCTTGGCTTTTCCAGCCTCATCACGCTGTTGAAGCGAAATCTTTTTTCTTCAAGTTTTCTTCTATTTCCTAAGTTTCGATTTCCTCAGTAATTCCTCTTAATACCACTTTAAACTCCTTTCCATATGGTATAGTAATGAAACTTCAATTTCATCACCTCACTCACTCGTGTCAATTTTCTGGCACCTTCGAGTCTTCGCAGCAACGAAGATTTTGACCCTTCCTTTGTATTAAAGTTTTTTGCCCCGGCGACAGTGTGGTGGGGCATATCCTAAAATAAATTGACAAAAGGATAAGTAAAAATTCTGGTTTTTGGGTATATTTTAAGTAATTTTTATTCACTGTAGTATATCTTGATAAGGGAATATATGTTTTCAGTTCATAATGACTATTTGTCAAAAAATAACGGCAGTAAATCATCGACTGTTAATTTTTGTAACTGACAGAAAACTTATAGTTAGCTAAACAAACAGCTTTCTTGCACTTTGCACATCTATAAAATGTTTTTCTGCCACTTTTCCTAGGACAAAATTCGCATCTTCTAGATAGTTTATGTCGTTTCCCTGGTGATTCATCAACATTCATTTCGTCTGCTGGCCTGAGGAGTTGCAATTCACGTGGGAGCTTTTTATTCAGAGCTCTGATTGTTTTGTGCTCACTCAACAGTTGTATGTCCAATGTTTTCAGAAACTGTCTTCTTTTCATTTGGAAATCACCAGTATTATTCTGATATATCACTCTTGCGTTTATACCAGCACAGTTTAGAAGAGCATAGAAAATCGTGAGTGTCCATCTTTTACTATTGCGAGATACATCGTAGCTCATCAATGACATCTACGCCACACTTTGTAGCATTATAAAACGAAACTACTTCCGGTTTTCTTTTATCTCCAATAGTTTCATCAATATCTGGAGTATGGTGTAACGTAGACATAAGAAGTACAACCTTGCCTTTTCTTGGTGTATAAGAAACTAAAGTGATATCTTTTTGAAAACCAAATTTGCTGGAATGGTCTGGACTGGTTTTCACTACTTTGAAGCTCTCGGGTATTTGCCGTTTGTTCTTCCCAACCGTCCCGACGGATGTAATTTGTGTTGTCTCAGCAGTGTTAGCATCAGATCATAATTGCTGAACCAATTATCAAACGTTACATTTCGTTTTGTGCCGGAAATTGGAGCTATAAGTCTAAGAATCACAGCGTTTGGCTTATTGCTCAACTTGAATGGACCATCAGGTTGCAGTCCCACGTACAATTCTAAGTTGAGAACAAAGTATGATTTTGCATCTACAAGTGCAAATATTTTCAAAGCATAACGTGCTGGCTTTTTGGGCATGTATTGACGAAAAGTACAGCGACCCCTGAATGCTTGGAGTAAACGAATTATGGCTATTCTCAACGAATTTCTCAAATAATGCCCTCACTGCTGTCATCTTGTCAATCTTTTTCCTTTCCTCCCGATTATTTATGTTGTCAAAGCGTAAGTAAGACAGCACGAAAATGAACCTTTGTAAAGACATTGTTTCTCTGAATAAACTTATCCCAGTTTCATCTGTCGACCAAAGCTCCTCAAGATTTAGCCTAGAACTTTTGAAAACTCCTGCCAGATAGAGAAGTCTGAATAAAGCTCTTATTTCTGTTACATTCGTATCTCGTACAACGTATTGATGATTTTCATCGTAGCAAACAGATTTCTGTCGTATTTTTATATTGGTGCACATCACAATATCGTCCATATCACCATATCAGAAATTATAAACTGATTGGAACATTCAATTGGTGTTTTAGTGACTATTTCTCCTTCTCGCTAAGGGTTTTAGGTGATGGAAGAATCGGAGGCCGACAATACCAGATCGTTCTACTTTTTTAGTTATCACGCTTAATTCGTTAGCATCCAATGCCATTTGGCCTATCCGAACCAGGCCTTTAAGGTTGATTCCACTTTCTTCTCTTTGTTCCTTCTTTCGTTAAGCAAAAGCACAAAACCACAAAAGCTTCATGTGGTCACGGAACATCACCTTGTACTTCGTCAAACTGCTGACCAAGACCTTGAGCTACTCCAAACTACTATTCTTAACTCCTCGTTTTATCTCCTCCTTTGGATGCTTTAAAGATATATAGTCTTTTATAAGAAACTTTGTATCTTTACGAAAATATATAAGGAATGATTTCGCCTCAAATCGCTGAGCTCGCTATCTGGAATCTCCTTGTCTTATACTACTTTCTAGTTTGATTCTTTCCGTTTCAGTGTGGGGCTTAATTGTACTCGTTGCTCTCTTATAGATGTTTTCAATAAGCACAGTATATCTTGAGTCAATTCTACAGGTTTCTAGCGCAGTTACTATCGGCCATATTTCAATTGATTCAAAAGCCTTAGTGTCAATAAATGCTAAGTATAGATCTTTGTTATATTCTGGAGCAGGAAAATCTGCTTCAGAATATGTAATATGATGGTTTTTTATTACTTCTAGGCGCATTCAAACTTCTGCTTTCTTGTATGCCTCTTTGAATATTTTTATTCAATTCCCTGTATTATATTGTTCCTCTTTTGCCTCCTTTTACTAGTTCTATGTCTTCTCGTAATTAGTTGTTGAGTTTCTAAAGTGTTATTAATTTCAAAAAAGCCAACTTTCTCAAGTTTGGATCCCCCTTATGAATTAGTACCAACTTGAAACCGTTTGTAAAAAGATGTTTTATCTTTTAACTGTTACTTACCCTGACTATTAAATTTAATATAATACTTATAATAAAAGTTATATTTAGTATATATAATTCTTTATTTCTTTGTCAAAAGCTGAAACAGAAGGTGACGAAAACTACATGAACATTTTAAACAACACAAAAGGAATCGTCTTTTATAGTACACCACACAAAGGATCTAAAATAGCTAATCTGAACCCACCGACTTGTTTAGTCGTTTTACCATCCGTTGAGGTTCAAGAATTACGCGAAGGTAATATTTTTCTAAAATCCCCATCCCCAAAATGTATTAATAAATTTTTTTAGAGTCTCCAAATTTAAAATCAATGCACGAAGCATTTTTGGAACTCCTCCAAAAGTACTCAATGCGCATAATAAGTTTCATAGAGACCAAATCAACAGTTGTAACAGCACTTAAATTTAATTTCCGGATGGTTGAAAGTGCGTCTGGTAATCCGGGAGTGGGAGAAGTTTTTGAAGTCCCTCTCGATCATTTAGGAATTTGTAAACCCATTAACAGGTTTGATTTACATCGTAAATTATTAATTTGAAATATTAAATGATTTATTTTGTGGTAGAGAATCATTTTTGTACCAAAAAGTTTTACATTTAGTGAAAACGGTGATGATGGAGGAGAACAAAGAGGATGAGAACGTTTTAATTATTGATTGTCCAAATGAATGTGATGGTTAAATTTATTTATTTATTTAGTGTATAATTTTACCAAAGATATAAATTAAAAAGAATTATTAAATAATTTTTTATCACATGCAAATCTCCTTTTTGTATAAGGAACTATAATCTTTCCCAGTCGTTTCATAACCACTAAAATCGACCAGGTCTAAATTACGATCCGTTCCTGCCACTATTTGTAAAGGATCGAACGAGAGGCTATAAATTGGGGAATTTCGATTTTTCCCCCGGCATGATCTCAGAAAATATAACTAAAACAAATTTAATTATTAATAAATAAATAAAATGAAATTAAAGTTACTTGAACGTATTTTGGGCTCCTCATATCATAAAGAACCATTCTCCCATGAGCTTGAGTCCCTGTTAATAAAGTATTGACATAATCAGTGTCCATACAATAAATAGTAGATTGAAATGGGTCCTTATACGATTGTACGCAAATATCGCCAAGCCTTAAATCCCATTTACGAACATACGTATCATGCCCACATGTTAAAAAAACCGAATTTGTTAAAAATTTGATGTCTAAAACGCTACTTCCTTTATCTAGGAAGGTTCCAAAAATATTTAGTGGAGAATCTAACCTATAAAGAAAAAAAAAACCTTACCAAACTTTTTTTCAATATTGTTTTTAATTACCTATTTGAATCAAAAATACAAATTGGAGCAACACTTTTACAACTAGAAGTTCCCAAAACAACTCGATCACCCATTATATTAAAAGAACTCGACCAAATTCGGTTATCGACTTTTCCGTAATTACAAAGTAAAACTTTTAAATGTTCCCTATTGACGTTAAACAACCCGAATTGGCCATCGTTCCCTCCGGAAAGAATAAAATTATCGTAAACGTCAATATCGTTGATATCGTTTTTATGAAACTCCTTTGAAATCGCAGTTACATTCGCAGTATCAAGAAACCAAACCCAAACCTTTCCGTTACTAAAAAATTATTTTATAAATTATTCGTGTTATAATACAGTAGAGCCCAGATTATCCGGGACAAGGGCGCCGCGGATTGTGAAAATCGCGGATAACCCGAAAAAACACTAAAAATTAGGTGTAAACACGAAAAAAATATTTCAGCATAATAACTATAATATTTTAAATTACTAAAATAAAGAACAGTAATAAACAAAAAATAATACATTCACCACTGTGTGGTAGACAAAAAGTGTGCAGTTACATCTTTTTAAAAAAATAAGTCACTACTTTTTGCTACTTGCTTTGGAAACACCTTCTATGTTTTCTTGATCGACATTTTCACCTCCCGGAACGGATTTCACTAAGTCAATAAGTGTAGCGATCGTCATGACTTCATTCACTTCTTCAAAAATGTTGTGCTTGACATTTACTTCGATATTCGGACAGAGTTTTCTCAAGAGTTTATCCCATGCAGACGCAATATCATAAATGCTATCCAAAATTGTATACATCTTCCAAAATTGTTTAAAATTGTAACGTTCTTCGATTTTTGACATTAACAACTTTGTTCTGTATGTTCTCTTCATAGTTGCAATGACTCCTTGGTCCACAGGTTGTATCACCGCAGAAACATTTGGGAGAAAAACCCACACTTACAGCTGGGTGTGACGGCGCGTTGTCAATTAACAAAACAGCCTTTCTTGATAAATTAAATGAGTCAAGGTGTTTACGTACTTGTGGCACAAAAATCTTTTCAAACCATTCTTGAAAAATCTGCTGGTTCATACAACCTTTTTTTTTTATTGAAATAATCGACTGATAAATTTTCTGCTCTTGTCCCTTTAAAGGATGGCGGTTTCTTGGACTTACCGATTACCAGAAGCTACATGTTGTTATATGGCAAGATTGTGATCCTTTCCTTGCTACTTTTGTAACCTGCCGGTTTATGTTGTTTACTTTAAAATGTTAAAGTACGAATGGGAAGATACTTCCAAAAAAGCCTTGATTCATCAGCGTTATAAATTTGCTTATATAACAGATCTTTAGACAACACAAACTCTTCAAAATGATGTTGAAAATCATCAGCTGCTTGTTAATCACCACTCAGCTTCTCTCCATGGAGACTAATCTCTTTAATTCCATGACGTTTCTTAACACGATATAACCAACCGGACAACGCACATATTATCAATTTACGACGACAAAAATGTAAACTATGATTTTATTTTATATTCTGATCAAAAATGCTTATGTGGAGCCTATTCATAATTATCTTTCAGAAAAACACCTTATTAGAGTTAGTTAATTAAAAAAAATCAATTGCATGTCAAATTGTTTATTAGGGTGTTAATGAATGATCTGCATATACACTGTTGGAAATAATTCACGAGCACACCCTATATAATCTGAACGCGTGAAGATAAATCCATAATATTTGCGGAGCACAAAGCTTTACTGTAGACGAGTTTATTCAGCGAGTTTTGAGTTGTTCCGTCGCGGCATTGTTGACTGAGCCGCCCTTCCAAGTGGAACATTCCGTCGCTATGGAGACCGAAGTGGATGGAAAATCCGGTCGTTTTTAGTGTGGTGTGAGGAACCACATTGTTATCGTACTCTGTGCGCAATGGATGAGCGATCGCGTTACTTAAGCGAGTTTGGGCGAGGAATGTTTGTGGGTATGCACATTGAGGGTGTATAGTTCCGTGAAATTGCGCGTCGTCTCGAGCGGTCGTTATCGGCAGTGCAACGGGCATGGCGAGAATGGTCTGAGGTAGGACATAGGTACCTACAGCCGCGGCCAAAAACACTAATGCAAAACACTAAACAGTTGTACAAAATGACAGAGATTTTAAAGGTTAACAGAATGTATGCAGCTAAAGAAATAGATGCATAGTTACCCTAAATAATCACCTGTATATCAAACATAACGTGTTTTTGACCACATGTATACTAGCATTTTTTTCATATTTTGTCGTTTACATCATTCATTTAAATTGTACAATTTTGATTAAAACATTATTTTATATGCATATCCTCATCAGACTGATTGACACCATTACCTTCATCATGATCACCGAAATATGTTGCCTTACCATGCTTAATACAACTTCATTGAATTGGGTTTTACTTTTTTTCGATTATTTGTCAATAGGGTCTGAAGATACAAGCATCCAGTTAAATATGTCAGTATTGGTATTGATCCTTGAAGTATTTCGGGAATGATATTGTCTTAATTTTTTATACTCTTTATGGCCTGTCTCAATTACGTCTTCTGACAGTTGACTCATTGGTAAAGGTAAAGATTTTATGATATGAGCTCCATCTATTAATAGTTTGTGAACACTGGCACTCATTTTGCAGCAACCATAAAGTGAAAAAGCGATTTCTGCTGTTTCAAAACAATACTTTTTAAATACAGAGTGCCCATTATGTATGGAATATACTAGTATATATCTTGGTAGGTATCAACTTTATAAAAAAACATTTTATACAAAAGTTGTTTAATATTTTATTTGTCATAATAAGACTGCCTTCAATTGTTTTTAATTCAGAAAACAAATGAGTAACGAATAATACTTATTTCTTTTTAATGGCAACCTATTCTTTCTTTAGGCTCATTTGATAGAGATTACTTTCCTCTTTACGATGGCGTAAAATTTTTGTATCCTTACATCAGAAAATTTTTGAGAAAAATGGAAAAATTGTTTATTAATAAAAATTAATCAATAACATTAATCTAGATATTCGAGATCGTCAAGTACCTCGAATTATTACTGTAATAGTATATTAAAAAACAAGTTTTGTAAGACACGTTTGAAATGCACGAATTCAAGTTAAAAAACGAGTGGCGAAGCCACGAGTTTTTTAATGAATGAGTGCTTTAAATCTTATGAAACATGTTTATTATGCTATTTTTTTGTAATTCGCGTTTTTATCCGTTTTCTTTCAACAAAAATAAAATAAATTTTGACAATGTAGGGAAATAGGTATGCAGCAGTTGGTAACACCGTAACACTTGAAAATAGAAATTTGAATTGACAATTAGAAACTGTCAAAACACAAAATGTATTCACCTGACAAAAATGTTTCATATAAACTTCCCAAAATAAGAGAAATTGCTCAGAGTTCAATGTCCTCATTATTGTGGACCTTGTATTCGATGCTAAGAACGTGTTTAGTTTAAACATCCATAGACAAAAATTGTCACATTGACAACTAGAAAAATTAATGACCCAATGTCAGCAACTTGAACGAGTTCCATAAAATGTTACTAAAATCTCATTACAGCACCCGTTTGAGTACTGTTAGAGCTTTCATTACCGTCGCGAATTACAAAAATTAAATTTACATACAAAATAAAACAAATAAACGAAAAATTAGTGTACATCTCCAATAATATAATGTTATTAGTAGGGTACTAAAATTTTACGTCATCGTAAAGAGAAAAAAAATCTCTATCAAATGAGCCTAATGAAAGGATACATTGCCATTTAAAAAACTTCAAGTGTTATTCGTTGCTCATTTGTTTTCTGAAATAAAAACAATTGAATGCTGTCTTATTATGGCAAATAAAATATTAAACAACTTTTGTATAAAATGTTTTTTTTGTAAAGTTGATACCTACCAAGATATATAGTATATTCCATACATAATGGGCACTTGTATATCTTCTTTGACGTAGTGTCCACAAGAAATGATGGAAAGTGTATTTGCAAATATTTTTTCTTTTATTTGGGAAACAAGCAAAAGATTCTTAAAAACTTTCCGCGCTGTGTTTCCGTCGTTACTATTGCCTCCGCCTTCTTTTGACTGATTAACTACGAGGCTCAATTCCTTATAAAATTCGGCCGATATTTGATTTTTTCTTTGTCATCTTCGTCCCTTGCTTGCCACTTCTGTAACTCCAATGTATATGCTATATGCAGTAAATATTCATAGCATCTAAGATGTGCATGAAGTATAGAAATACCATATTTAAAGGTGTCTTCGTAACAGACTATGTTCTTTAGTTTCTCTACATCATTGAAATCTTTAGGGGTAGTCTTACACACATTGCACGCTTGCGAACTGGAAGTATCAGTCAATATGTTGACTGTGTTTCCATCTAGCATCGTACATATAGGGATATGTATAAATTTTATTTGTTTAGTTCCTACAACGACTATCGTGGGCTCCAATTTTAACATTTGTATTTGTACTTCGTTATATTCTTCTTTTACATATTAGACATTTTCTTTCTTTATCTTAAATCCAATTGGACGGGAATATTTTGTCTATGATGGCGTCGTATTCTTTCAATATATTTTTTTGTTACGGCCATTAGATTCACACATTTGTAGTGGCACGATCGTACATAAAATGTTGTTGGAATCCGCATATTCCGAATTATTGGCGAAATTTTGTTTGTAAATACTGCGTCCATCTCTGCCATCTAAGCCCCATTTATAATAAACTTGGATAAACGAGCCCCAGACAATTACTCCGTACGATGCCACAGAATGGAAACTCGCGAAATAGGTAATCCGAGCCACTTCCACGGACGCACACTCCACAAGCCTCTGCACCGCAAAGCTCGCTCACATGATTTGTCCACTTTAAACCGCTATCCCAGGAATTTAACACTTGCCGCATGATGACGATCGAAGAACTGTAATGTTTGTGTCTTCTCGCAATTCAAGTGAAGCTTGTTCGTTACCATCCACTTCGTAACATTATCAATCACACGTGCCGAATTTCCTTTGATATCCTCCATAGTTTTTCCATTTGATATTAAGGAGGTGTCATCAGCATATAAATAACAGGAAGCTCCTAATAGATTGTTCGGCAAGTCGTTGATATAAATAGCAAACAGTATCGGACCCAGCACCGAACCCTGAGGAACTCCATGTTCGCAGGGTTGCACGCCCGAAATTTCATCCCGCCATTTTACACACTGATTTGTGTCGGATAGATATGATGACAAAAGTTTATATGGAGTACCTCTTATTCCATAATAATAAAGTTTTTCTAATAATATGGTGTTATGATTAATTATGATTTAATATGGTATCGAAGGCTCGAGTCAAATAACAGCAGATAACTTCTACCTTTTCCTTATTGTCATGTGCTTGAATTATTGTATTTACTAGTTCAATTAGTGCCGTGATGGTAGAACGACCCTTCCTATATCCATGTTGTACATCGCTGAGAATCTGTTGTCTTTCAAACAATGTTGTTAACCTAGCTTTCATAATTTGCTCTAAAATCTTAAAGAATACCGGCAATATCGCTATTGGACGATATTGCTCACATGAGTTATCATCCCCTTTCTTAAGTAGCGGTGTAATTTTCCCGACTTTAAGTTTCTGTGGAAATACACCCTCGTTTATGTATTTATTAAACACCTCCACTAGAATAGGTGTCAAATAATCAGTTACCGCCCTAATAGTTGAAGTAGTCAGACCAAAAATGTCTTCACTAGTTTTTGATTTTAGATTTTTTAGTATGTTGCTAACTTCATTTTGGTTTGTTGGCTCGAAATAACATGAGTTAACGAAATCGCCTTTCATGCTCGCCAGGTGGCCGATGACACCATAGAGGAAGTTGGCATTCTTGACAATAATAAGTTCACCTCTTGTGTGTAGTGTTCGCTGAAATCCTTCGCCTTTAATGTCGATCCTATTTCTTTCTGCTCGTTTCGTGGCTTTATTTCTGCATTGATTACTTTCCATATCATTTTCTGTTTATTAACTGATTTTTCAATAGTTGTCGTATTTTGTGTTCTCCTTATTGCTTTTATATATTCTTCCTTACACCTCTTATATGTATCATAATCATTGGGAAAGAGACCCGATTGTATATTCATACCTAAAGAATCTAATTTTCGTTTCATTTCTAATAGTCTAGGTGTTGTTCTAAAATGTGGATACTTATTTATTCTATTTGTTTTCTTTATTGTAGGAAATGATCCTCTGCGTTAACGAATGAAGAACTCCTCCAATCAATGGTTTTAATAGCCTCTATAAAGTATTTAACATTCTGCTCACTGTAATTTCGCAGTTTATTTATTGTAGATCTACTAGACTTTTCCTGATCCGGCTTTTTTACTGACATTATTATGTCAGCCTCCACTTGTGCTAAACGGTGCGTAGTATGTATAAGAAGATCTATCATTGGTACCACAGCCTCGTTCTCAATTATCATGATATTTGTTGGATAACACTTCCTCTTTGTCTCTGCTATCACATGATATGAAAGATAAATATCAGCCCCTCTTTCTTTTGCTCCAAGTCGCAACGTTATATAATCCTCTTTTGTCAACTCAAGATTACTATAAGAGCTAAAGCTTCTTCAGGGCTGTACGGTCTTATATTAGCAGAGGATGACGTATCATGCACCTTTTTCATTTTTTTTTAATGTGTTGGACGAAGATTGTATTGCTAATTTCACAACCTGGGCTGCAGTTCTTTTGCCTGATTTCACCAAGCTTGATTCTGCAGCCAAGCAGTGTTTCTGAACAGAGATTTGGCACAATTGGTTCAACATGTCGTTACTTTCTGCGTTGAGAGCTCTCTTCGAATTATTTTCGAATTATTGCTTTGAACGTTTTGGTGCTGTTGATATAAGCTGTGATGGCTGTATTAAGCTATTTCATATGCTTGTTGTTAAAACGCTCCTACATGTAATGACAACCTCGCCATTTCGTCAAAACATTCTTAACAAACACTTTGACCACAAGTTTTATTTGTTTTGTACAATTTTCAGAAAGTTCATTAACACTAAACTTGTCCAATGTAGTATAGTGTAATAATTGTTCATTACATTTTAACAACGATAACTTATAAAACTGTTTATTTTTTAACACTATAAATAGTTCTGTTCTCTTAATCGTTATTTTCATTAGAGCGGAATCGCTACAAAACCCAGAAAAATTCCCTCCATTTTAACGAAAGAGGCAAACAAGTGGACTTCTATTTTATTTTTGTATGTTATTTATAAGATATTTTTTGGAACTAGTAAAAAAAAGTTAGTGTACTTTTTGGCAGCAAATATTAAATGTTATATAATGTGCATCATATCTAAACTACGAACGACTGTTGACAGTAATTGCAGATAAAAGTTCATACCTAACGCTTCAATATCCATATTGAAAAACTAACGATTTTAAATTTAGGAAAATAGGGCGAACATAATTACTCTGTCAATAATTCACGCATTACTAAGTGTCTTCCCCATGCAAAAGATAAGCGAACTTTGCGCACATGGGTATCCTACCCATTCTGTTACGTTAACAAAAGAAATTTTTACAGTTCATGTCTGGATTATAATGAACATTTTGAAGGTATGTATTTGTGATTAGTTTAAAGATAAAACAAATCTATTTTTGTCGTCGTAATTTAGTTATTTGTCCCTATGTGCGACGCATCAAAATTTCCTTCCAATCCTAACAAATCAAAGAAGACTTTTGCTTTAGCTACAATGATAGAGCCGGACACGGGGGAGCCCTCACTTCGCTCCTGACCTAGCCACTCCACTAATGCCGAGTCAAGTTGTAGGTACCCTGTAGGTACATTTCTTCAATGTTTTTCGTTCCTTCATCCCAGAAGCATTGTCCGACACTGATGCAAAAGCAAACAGTTTGTCTTTTTGCTTTAAAACATCTCGCACTGTTGTTTCCCCAATCCCGTATTCTAAACTTAAGCACCGACCAAGAAACACGACTGTATGACAAGTCGCAACACGCCTTAAATTGAGTCGAACCACGCGTTCGTCTGATCAATTATAGCGAGCGCAATTCACACCACTCTAAACGCGCTTTTGACACAGATAAACACATCAGTATAAAACAAAATAGAAAATTAATATGTACAGTTTGTTAATTAATTATTATACTCGACGTTATCATTGCAAGTATGCAACCAATATCACAGTATTCGGAACCAATACACGCTTGCATGGTTGCATACTTGCAACAAAAGTGTACATGTAATAAAATTACAGAAAAATTAGTAAATAATTTTACAAAAGGCGATAAATAATGTGCAAAGTCACATTATCATCCACTCATGGATAATCGGGGCTCTACCACTGTATTTTATTTTAATTAATTAATCATACTTAGCCCCTGCAGCTAAAAACTTCTCCCCTTTAATAAATTTACCAACATCTGCATAATTACTCATCTCATAAATTGAAATTGCACGATTTCGTTGAAGAGTTTTCCCTCTTCTTTTATAACCAAAAACGCGGTGTTCTCGGCTAAACCACACATACTCCTTTTCCAATTGAACCGTTGCTACAGACTGCCTTAAATCGTAAAAGTGGGAATGTTCTGTGTATCTCCCCTTCCTCCAATTTTTTAATACTCGGAATTTCTCCATGCAACTTAAAATAACATGAGATCTACAAAAATTAATTCAAAACAAAATTTCAAAATTATTAACAATTTATTGTGAACGAACCTATCTCTAATATTTTTTGTACCTTGCCCGGTACATAATAACCCTCCAAATAAGCTATTTGGGAGCGAATAAAGGATTATTTGGTTTAATCTACGACATGTTAATTTTAGGTTAAGTATATCTTGAATTCTGCAATAACTAAGTATGATTATTAAAGTGTCGAGAGATAAATCGAGGAGTTCCATTATTATAAATGCGTTTTCGATGATTTGGTCGCTTTTGTATCGTTTTATACATTAGAAAGAAATACTTTGTAAATGTTGACGTATACATAACCTCAATATGTGACAATTTGTGTTTGTCTTGTCATTATAGGAGGAAAAAGGTTGGTTACACTGAGATAATTATTACAATTTTATTAATATTACATTTTATATTAATAAATTTATAATGATTTAAATTGTTTTTAAATCATTATAATTTAAAACATATAAATTTATTACTTTTTAAATAAAATAAATTATGACTCAGATATTAAAATATATATTGGTAGCATTGAGTGTCAATTTCTTTCATATACAATTTTTGAGTAAGTACTTTTTATTTTGATCATATAAAACATTTTGATTTTAGGAACAATATCATACTTTTTATTTGAATCTACTCTGTTTTTGGTATACCTCTTAAAAATGTTGTAATTCCAACTTTTAAGTATTAAAATATATAAAACTAGGAAAAGGGTATTCCAAAAGTAAAAATTAAAAAAAATCGCCTTGACCTTATTTTGGGGAGTTAGGAAATGATTTATGTCTTAAATTAAAGCTAAAAGACTCTATTTTATGATGTTGTATCTAAATAATGAGATTTGGTAAAGATTTTTTTTCAAGAAAGTACTTAAGGAAATCTTTTAAGTTGGGTTATGCCAAAAAATGTGAAAATTAAAAAAAAATCGCCTTGACCTTACTTTGAGGAGTTAGGAAATGATTTATGTCTTAATTAAAGTTAAAAGACTTTATTTTATGATGTGGTATAGAAATAGTCGGATTTGATAAAGAAAGTTTGCGAAAAAAGAACATACAAGAAAATCTGTTAAGTTATGTCAAAAGAGTGAAAACTTTAAACAATCACCTCAACCTTGATTTGAGGAGTTGGGAAATGATTTATGTCTTAAATTAAAGCTAAAAGATTGTGTTGTAAGATGTGATATAGAAATAATGAGGTTTGAAGAAGAAAATTTTTCAAAAAAGTACATACAAGAAAATCTATTAAGTTATGTCAAAAGAGTGAAAACTTTAAACAATCACCTCAACCTTGGAAATGATTTATGTCTTAAATTAAAGCTAAAAGATTGTGTTGTAAGATGTGATTTAGAAACAATGGGGTTTGATGAAGAAAATTTTTCAAAAAAGTACATGCAAGAAAATCTATTAGGTTATGTCTAAAGAGTGAAAACTTTAAACAATCACCTCAACCTTGATTTGAGGAGTTGGGAAATGATTTAAGTCTCAAATTAAAGCTAAAAGACTCTATTTTATAATGTGGTATAGAAATAATGGGGTTTGATAAAGAAAATTTTTCAAAAAAGATAATATAAGAAAATCTCGTAAATAAAAAGAAATTAATATAAAAAATTTAAAATTAATTTAATTTTATTTATTTTATAACCGTTCATGTTGCTTGAATCATTTAAAGTATTGCTACTTCAATTCGATGGCGATTTCGGTGTTCCTTAAGTTATAACAACAATAATGTTTATTGCCTCAACAACAAATATTTACATAAATATATATATGTATATACATTCATAACAAATATAGACATCAAGACAAACGGATCAATTTATCGCAATAAGCCATGTCTTCCAAGATACCCAACTGGTAACAGTGTATATGTAATTTTAAATAAATAATTATGGCTAAAGAAAAAGTAATACTAAATGATGTGCTAATAAAACTGAGCGAATGAGCACACAAGGAAGGAAATAGACACAAAAAAGTGCAGCAAAAGATAGATGAAAGGCAGACTAGAGAAGAAAACAAACACATATAGGTCAAAAAGAGATTGTTGAAGAGAGAGCAGATGGCGTGTCAAGGCATTTGTAAAATTTGTAAAATTTATGTTCGCAGTGCAGTTAGCACTGCGAACAGCGGCAGGCAAATCGTTCCCTGTAAAACATCTGGGGTAGATTTCAGTACAGTATGGACTGGACACATAAGTAGGCAAGTCATGTGATGCAAAAAAGTGAAAGGCATCAGACAAATAAGCAAGAGTGCGGACATGAACAATTTTGTATAACATAGTAAGCATACGAAATGATCTACGACTCTGGCAAGTCATCATCAGCATGTTGTTACGATATGAAGTAATGTGCTGAAACTTTCCTAAATCAAAAATTTACCGTATACAATTGTTCTAAAGTCTTTCTACTTTACCCCGAAGAGCTGCGGACAGATCAGGATACGCATAATCAATGTGTGGGAAAATGAGAGAACGTACAACAGGAGGAAGGTGGCAGCGAAAGTTTTCAAAGTATGGAAACAGAAGTAAACCCCCTGAACTTGTGGCCGCCAAGACATCGGCGAATCCATTACCACACCAAAATTTTTGATCGTATTAGAAAACGGAATAACGGTGTCGCCAAGCCTTAGTTGAAGGGTAGTTAAGGAATTAAATTTTGCCAGCAAGGGGCGAGTGCCAAATGCAATGGCTTGCGTTTTACCTGGATTCAGGTAAAGTCCATGACGTCTAGACCAGTCAAGTATGGTAGAGAGATCGTTGTTAAGATGCAACAAAGCATCTGGAAAGTTGTTAACAGTTGACGAAATATAAAGTTGAAGGTAATCTGCATACAAATGATAGTTACACGAGATACCATCATTAAAACTATTTATGAAAATTGAGAAGAGCAAAGGACCCAGTACACTAAAGACCGATAAGAATGGTAGGACTGGAATCAAGATACACAAGAAGAGGTAAAACCAATAGCAGAAAACCTGGTTAACAGGAGGGCATAGTCCACAGAATCAAAGGCCTTACTAAAATCAAGTAACACTAGCAAAGTAACACAACGCTTATCACAAGCAGATCTAATATCATCGGTGATCTTAATCAGTGCTGTAGTAGTACCATGCCCTTCACGAAAATCAGACTTTAACTTATTCGTCTTTCGACTCGACTTTAACGTCGTAGCTGCAACGCATAGTAAATCAAGTCATGATTCGAACATTGAAGTGTAGGCAACTGACCCTGCGTAAAAATATTGTCTGGGCGAGACGTGATAATAAGATCTAGGAGAGTATGAGAGAATGACGAGCGGTGAGTTGGAAGAGAGGGTAAGATCGATCGATTTAGTGACGAAGTTATAAATTGTAGTTTTTCACAACGTGCATCATTTTTTAAGTTATATATATATATATATATATATATATATATATATATATAGATAAAGCAGATCTTATAAAAAAGGTCAGAAGCGTGTACACTGATTCTGTAGACAATAAGATAACAAACAAGTCCAATTTACCTTTGTCTAACATCCTTAACCTATCCAATCTTCTTGGCAATGCTATAACTCAATGCTACTGAGGTAACTGAACTTGTTAAAGTTTGGTGTTTAAGAAAGCAAATTTTAAAGGACACCAAAGAAAGCAGTTTTTAATTACAGACTATCTCAGGCTTACAAAGTAACAAAAAATGTCTTTGGTGCACTTTATCATATACCTCCTACTGTTGATCTAGTTATTATTACTTGTTTTTCTTCTATATAAAGTTCCTAACCACCTTCGTGACAAAGAATTCGTGCCTCAATCTCTGATATTCTTATGAAAGCGACCGATCTCTTTGATTTACATCCAACTAAGATTTCAGGGAAGTCATTAATGTTCATGAACACCCAGAAGCCAAGGTACGGTTCAGTTGCACTAGTACGGACAACGAATCTGTCACGCAATTCCACTCTGCTTTAAGGAGATACAAACACATTTGAAATCGCAATGCCAGCAACCATAGACTAGGAAATGCGTTCTCTGCGGTGACATATACTTTCATAAGTTAAGAACAACGATTACTGGAGGAGTGGGTATTGAAGAATAGATTAGTAATCGCGAACACGGGAAGCACCCCAACCTACACAAGCCAAGTTACTATGCAACAGTATATGAAAAGCAAGAAGAACCTGACTCTGACCTTGATAAATTCAAAAAATACAAAATAGTAAGAACTATGCAAGGAACTAGAATAGGATGTCTGGGCACTGCTTACAAAGTGGCAACAAAGAAGCTAAGAATACAAAAAAGACCAGAAATTTACAAAAAAAACTGCAAACGAACAGTTCATGAAACTACGTGAAGGTTGGCTCAAACATATTCTTGGACTATATAATGATTGCACGGATATTTCCCAAAGATTTGGAAAGTAACGATCTTAATCCTAATAGAAAAACCTAAAAAAAAAGTAGATCTAGAAAAATCATACTTTTAGGGAGATAAATAAGCTTTTATAGAGGAGCTGCAAAGAGGAAAGATCATTAGTAACACACAATACGGCTGTAGGATAAGGAAAAGCACAGTAGATGGAGTGATATCATCAGCGACAGAAAAAGGAAGGAAGTCTCGATGATTCTCCTTGATGTTTCGGAAGCTTTTAATTCCGTACCATAGCTGAAAGTAATAAGGGCGATGAAGAGAGCTAAAATATCAGCAACACTAAAAAGAATACTAAAATATTACCTCACCGAGCGTATAGTAGTTCTCTCTAGTGAATTGAAAATACAAACGACGTACAGTGTTCGCAGGGATCGGTGGAGGAACTCTTTGGAACATCTACTATGATAGAGTTCTTCGCATAAGAACCGAAGTGCGAGATATTAAGTAGAGATATTGGCGTATGCCGATGACTTTGCGGTTTTGGTGTAAGCAGAAATACCGGAGTATGTGTGAGATAGAGCTGAGTATTGCGTGGCGAGGATAAGATAGGAATTGGAAGAAATGGGACTGGAACTGGCTCCCCAAAACAGACAACCTCTGTTTTGGGGAGCATATTGGAAGGAAGGAAGAAGCTACAAAACATCCAAATTGAAATGGGCATGGTATACTAACAAACATCATAAAATCTGCCAAATATCTGCGAGTCGACCTTGATAAGGACCTGTATATGGCCACACTCCCAAAGATGAATAATAAAAAACAATTAAGACTACCTCTTTCACGAACATCGTTTCGGAAATTATGCCGAACATAGGGAGGCCCAGCCAGGGGAAAAAGAGACTCATAGTTGTGGAGACATCGCCAAAACATAACAAATATAAGGAAAAGTTGAGAGCAATAGAAACTAAAACAGTAATATAAGTACGAAGGCTTTC